CTAGAGGATGAACTGGGGAATTAGGACTCATAAGTTTGGTTCCCAGCTCTGTCCTTGAAGTGCTAGGTGACCACTGCCCTCCACAGCTGATGGCTGAAAGATGCTTCTATATAGGTTACAAAATAATATGATTAATTTTCAATTGCATTCAGTCTGCTCTAAATCGACACAAGCTCCGATTCATGTTACTGAGCAGAGGGGCTGCCCAGAGCCATCCCGGTCCCATCACTGTATTCAGTCCTCATTTACACTCCTGTCCATTGAAAGAAACATTTGCAGTCAATTCTGGGGATGTTGTTCCACCTCACAAAGGTGCGGGGGATCATTCATCCAGGGACTAAGACGTCTACTGAAGCATCTGATTTTCCTTGCACGCTGTCGCTACTGTTTCACATGCTACACAGGCAAGGGGCAGCCTAGTACACGTGCATTAGCTTTTAATAACCCCAGAGATGCATACATTCAACTTCCCACAATTCAGAAAGATGTGGAAGGATGAAATTCTTTGGCATTTTCTACCAAATAAAAAAAACCCCCTGGGAGCTTTGTGAGTAAGCCAGAAAGGATTGTTTAGAGGTGTTGTTAAGGTAACCACATCCAGAACATGGTTTTATAGTCTTACGGAGAAACTACATGTCTGCAGAATGGAAACAACACTCCCATCTGGAGAACTGCTCTGAGAGAAGGCAATATTTGGGCAATATTGCTGTCTTGGCCGTTTCAGAGAGCATCAGTGCATGCTGAACTCCAGCAAGGACCTAGCAAGGAGGTGATGACACATGAAAGAAGCAGAGTAGATCTGATTGTGGTTTAGTGATGTTCATGAAAATATTGAGTAAAGAGCCTCATTACTGGCAGTGAAGGCTGTTTGAAGACTAGAAATAAGTATGAATTTTTAACATTTGAAGATAATTAACCACTTAGACACCTTGGTGGATTCTCTGTCACTTGAAGTCTATCAGTCAAGACTTTAGAGAAAATACTTTAACGGTTTCTAGGTACCTAATTTGGATTTCAGTGGCAGTTTGGTGCTTAAATCAAGGGGAGTCTGGTTGTGGACACATAAAGCAATTACTGGGGTATTGCTGCAAGAGTTGGGCGGATGACTTCCCACCTGGGAACTGATTAGTTGTAAGTGTTGTGTGCTCCCATCCCACAATGAGTGAAGCCAGACTGGGACAGCCTATATCAGAATGAAGCATCTACTATATCTTATTGTGGTTTGGACACCTGAAACAATTACTGAGTTTCGAGCTGTTCTAAGTCTTTCTTTACTTTTCAGTATTTATGAATTGTTTCATCTGGCCAGACTTTCAGGCACCCAAGTACCTTAAAAATATTGCTCTAATTCTTTCTAAGAGATTTGCTTTAGTTCAGACAGGTTATGGGATTAACACACAAATCATTGTCCTGTTTATACAGGAAATTAGTCTAGATGGCCATAATTATCCTTTCTGGACTTAAAAAATTATGGACTATTCCAAATATGAATGAGCTAATTTGACAACATGGCAGAAGCTCTTTATTCGCGCGTGCACACACACACACACACACACACACACACACACACACACACACACACACACACACACACACTTTTCTTAACTAAGCCACATTAAAATGTTACTGTGTTAATTTAAGCATGTTAATAGTCATTTGCCACTGGGGTTGGCTTGGTCTGGCAGGGATTCATTCTCTACCTTTTCTAAGGTTTGCTAGGCATTTCTGTAGAACTGGCAGTGAAATGTTGTTGTTTGGAACGGGTTGTGGGATGATTTTTTTCTTTCGCAAACTGTCAGTGGAAATGAAAATAAATTACTTAAATATATCTTCACAGCTTGAAACTGAGATCCCCAAATCCTTCAACTTTTTTTCAGTTTCTAAAGCCTTTGATTTTTCACTGAAAACCTGAAAATTTGTATTAAAAATATATATTTTTTCTATTAACTTTCTACATCAAAAAAAAAAATTGCAGAATTTTCAAGAAGTTCTAGTAGGTCTCTGAGCCACTGGACTTTTACCAACACTGAGCATGGCATACAGTCATAGACATGTGCTTTGCACGCCCATGCGCGCACACGCACGCAGCACATTTAACACTGAACTGCAGCCATCTCTAGAGTGAAATGCATCTAATCTTTGCTAGCCCATTATAATGCAGCATATCAGTTTGTTAGGGAATGATGAAGTCTTTCGTATCCAGTTATACCCACAGGAGGAATTTCCTATAGGCATAATAATTACCGTATATTACCATGATTAGGAATGGCCAGGCCTTCAGGGCTTGTTCATCAGTGCCTGCAGAAAACACTCTGGTATGGTGGGAGGGTTTTTATCTTGCCATCTCTCGGTGCATAGCACTACTGACCTGCTGAGGGCACTGGCTCTGGGTTGACTCAGTATAAGAGATCATCCCTCACTAGATCTCTGGCAGTACGCTAAGCTTCCCCATACAAGTCCAAGCCCAATGAGCTGAGCCTGGGAGGTTAAACAGCACCCCGGTCTCCTCTGTCATCTTCTAAATTGCTTTCACACCTTCCCCACTTTGCTCCCAGGTGACCAGCGCAGCACTGTGGTCAACGAGTCCAGCAGCTTGCTGGGAGGTTCTCCCCGTCGCCAGTGTGGGCGCAAGGGATCCCCGTATCACACCGGGCAGCTCCACCCTGCTGTCCGAGTAGCTGATCTCCTTCAGCACATCAACCAGATGAAGACTGCTGAGGGCTATGGCTTCAAGCAGGAGTATGAGGTAAGAGTGGTACCCTGGGACCCGCAGGGGATCCTCCCTGGCACCTCATACTTTTTGCCTCTGCTGGTAACCACTTCCCGTGGAGAATGGGAGCTGGGACCTTCCTGGGAAGAGGCAGTATCCTGACATTTGCCATGGGAAGAGTGGATCGAGGGCAAACAGCTGGTTTGCAGATTTCCAGAACATCTGCGGCACCAGCCGGGCTGGTGTTCTGCCAAGCAGGGAATGGTAGTTGTCCATATAACGTGCTTGAGGTCCAAGAGCTCATGACCCAGGCTTCCTTTCAGCACCTGAGGCCCAGCACTGCCAGACCTGCAGTGCGCCATTCATCTTCTGCACAAGGGCTCTTGTAAATCGGTCTCCTTTTCCAAACCTAGCTCCCCTGTTCTGTCTGTGCCCAGCACACAGTGGTGTCAGATCCATGCTGGGTTCTCCAGCTCTCTAATACATTGTCCCCTGAGCAAAACTCGTTCTGGAAGCCTGGAAATTATGTGGACGTGGCCTCCCTTTGTTCCAGCAAAGGGAGAGCTTGTCTGTGGAGTGAAGAACCACCTCATTCCAGTCCCCATGGCATTGAACTGAAGTAGTTGTAATGAGGAGATCTGCCATCTGACATTTGCTATAACACACCTAGGCAGGCTGATTTCCCATTTCCTTGCTCTCCCACAGGCCCAACTATTGAAATCTCCCTTTGAAATTACTGTTTAATGTTCAGTTGTTTCAATGTTGGAGCCTTTTTTCCCCCATTTATGTATTGGACAAACCAGGGTTAGTTATAATCATTAGTGCTTCTTGAAAAGCTGCTGCATGTGCTCGAAACTAGTCATTTGGAAGCACTCACATATTATGGGTGGGGAGAAAACATGTAATTTCCTTCCACTTACCTCCTCTTACTCTGATCCATGAACGTTACTGTCATTACATACAAACCTGTTCTATGCTGGGAGTGGGTCGGGGGAGGGGGGAAGGGGAAGTTAAAAAAGACCCAGAAAAACAAGCTATTAAAAATAAAAAATAAAAAAAAGGATTATTTCTGGATACAGCAGAAATGTGCATGTGGTGCAATGCACTTTCCTAAGCAGATGCACATCCATGTCTGAAATAGAGATAGCTCAAGACAAATCTACCATGCTGTTTCTTGAAATACTCATCAGTGGCTATTTAAAAGAGGGGGTCATGGTTGTTTTGTAGGTAGATAATTCACTTGGAAATCAGTGTCTGGGTTCTGGTGTTGACTCGTCCTCTCTGTATGTATTTGGTCAGGTTAATGTCACCTCCTCTGCCTCAGTTTCCCCTGTTGTAAACCAGGGATAATTAACGCAGACATAATTCTTGAGGTAGCCAGGAGGATTGAATGATTTGCTGTTTGTGATCCCGGTGTTAAGGTTCTTGCCTGACAAGGGCTTCACAAGAATGAGGTGGTGTTATCAATGCCTGGCTTTCAGACAGACATTTGGTTGCTGGTATTTATTTGATTCGTCACTTATCCTTGCTTTTGTGATCATGTACAGGTGGCCCTCTTGGGAGCAGGGCCCCATGGGGCTCCTTGCCCCAAAGAGCTTAGAGTCTAGTAACATCCTTTGGCCCATTCAAACTGATCCGTGGATTGTGCTATGTGGCTGGATACTGGGTTGTGGCTAGGGCTCCCCCCAAAAGTACCAGGCTGCTTTCTCATCAAGTGGTTTCCTCACTGCTATCTGTCATTCAAGATGGCTAATGAAATATCACTCTTTAGGGCATTAACTGCTTGGATGTGAGGGTCAGGAAGTAATTTCTCCACATGCAGCTGTGGACCCCATCTAGGCCCAGAGACCTTAAAATGAGCTGGGAGGGGTCTGCTTTGCGAATTTCTCCGATGGGGCAAACTTACATGCTGCTGTTTGTACCAGGGAATGGCAAAGCAGTGGCATCACCCAGGATTTGTTCCCTTGTTCCTTTAGACTGCATTCAAATTGCTATGCTGGAACTCGCTATTGCATCTTTACCATGCTGTATGGAGTAGGCAAGTGGCACCCTGTTTTATAGACAGGGAAATGGAGGAACCAGGTAGTGAAATGGCTTGCCCTAAGAGGCCTGGTGAGTCAGTGGAGCTGGCACCCAGCAGTGCTGGGCTTATTCCTATAAATTATGCCGCCTCTCTCTGTCACCCTGTCTTCACAGGGGCTTAATTGCTATGATCTGCAGTGCTGGATACTGCAACCAGTCATGAAGTCTAGCTCTGAGTTGAGGGGATGTTTGCTCTTGCTCCTTTTGGACTCTGGGAGGTTACAGCTACGAGTGAGTGCTGTCAGCTATACACTTATGCTTAAGTGTATATTTCCTGGGTAGATAACAGACTTCTCCTTTTTTTTTTTAGAGTTTTTTTGAAGGCTGGGATGCTTCAAAGAAGAAAGACAAAACCAAAGGAAGACAAGATCACATGCCAACCTGTAAGTGCCAGAGACAAAAGCTTTAAAATAAACCCAAAGACCCCTTCCTTCCTTCCTGAATGCTTTGAAACCTCTGCAGAAGATCCCCTTGGTATGCACTAGAGGCAGGGTGCAGAGGGCCAGCTCAGTGCACCGCAGCAGTAAACTTTAGGGACCCTGGTTACGCTTTGCTCTTGACTGTTGTTGGTTTTCTCATCATCCCTCCTGGACATTTGTCTGCATCTCAGAATCTCTACCCAGCAGAGGCCTAAGACTGCGACAACAGGGTGGGGGGGTGGATGTTAGTTAAGAAGGGGCACTGAGTTGTGTAAAGAGAGTGAGAGAAGGGAAGAGGTGAGTGTGATGTGTCATGGCAGCATTGTGCAGGGGATGGGGGCAGCAATGGAATAGCAAGACTGAGGGCATGAGGAGATCTGTCCTGGGGGAGCTTGGCTGGAAGATGGGTGATCCAAGTAGTGGTTAAGATGACCAGGCAAAGTTTTGAGGAGTGGGTGGGCCTGGAGTGGAAGAGCAGGAGTAATTCAAGGACTACACAGGGGCAACTGCACAGAGGATTAAAATCTACCCAATTCAAGGAAAGAAAAACATGATACTTGTGTTCGGCTGGTTGAGTGCAGCAGAGATCTTGTGCAGGGCAAGTTGTATGAGGCAGTTCCCATTTATTAGCAGCAGTTGTATTAACTCAAGCTCTGAAGCTCCACCTGGCATAGGCTGCTTTGACCACAAAAAACCTGTGGAAGTACAGGACTCATTTGTGATGTTTATTGGTGTTATTACGTACAAACATGTATAATACACATTATAATTACAGAAGAGTAGGCCTGGAAAGGACCTCTGGAAGCCTGAGGCAGGATTACCCTTATCCAAATCATCCCATGCACATTTTTGTCTAACTTGTTACTAAAACTACACGGTGAACCCTGACACAGTCACAAGGCATAGCACCCTAACCTGCCAGAGATAAAGCAGGGAGAAAACATCAGCCGGCTTCCTGCTTTTGCAAGGGTTGTTAAAATACACTTGAGAGATCCTCTAGATATGTATACAGCAGTACTATTATTACTGCTGTCATTACATTTTGTATCATTCTGATGCTTAAAGGCCACAGACAGTTTGGGCCTCTATGCCCTAGGTGCAATATAAGCTCATAGTAAATGACAGGCCCTGCCCAAGAGGCTTGCAGTCTAATGTACAGAGCACAAGTGGAGAAGGCAAACAAGGTTTCAGGGCAAGCTTTTAAGGAACCAGGGGAGGTTCAGTCCTGCAGAAGTGATAGTGTGTTATAGCTATAGAGTGCTCCTCTGTTCAGCTCCTTTTTTCTGAGAGTCTGTGGCCATGGTCTGTGAGCCATTCACACACTCATCTTCATAGGAGTTGCAGCTTCTGTTTGCTTTCTAAAACCAAAGAATCAGAGAAAGGGGCAGAAGGAGAAGGGAGTTGGCCCTGGCGCATCCCACAAACTGCAGGGCTGGTATAAAAGACAAGTGACTCGGGGCAAGCCTTGGGGAGGAAAGTCAGGTTTCCTAGTTCAGCTCTTCTGAGGCTGCTACTGACTTGCATTTTCCCAGAAGTCACGCTGAAGTGGAGCACATCATTTGCATCACGCGTGCTGACTCCTAATATAATGTCATCACTTGTCGATGCAACATCAGTTCTTCAAACCCCAAACTACGTACACATGGGGCTCTTTATTGTGCTGCAGGCCACCAAGGGACATCAGACTGTTCTGTGAGTTCCATATGAGCAGGACTGTAGTGGGGAGAGACATTGTCTGAGGAGTCTGAGTTTGGGGCTGGACATATTGATCAGTACCAACCTCCTCCCTACAGTGTCACATAATCTCCCAGCTCCATCCACCTTGTAATGTAGGTTTCCTGGGCTTGTCAGGGTGACACCTGTGAGGTGTCTTTAGACCCGCATCATGTTTTAGAGTGAATCCACATTCCACAGGTTTAATTTGCGAAGTGTTACAGATTCCCTTGTGTCCCATTCAGAGCTATGAAGATATCTTTACCACAGAGCAGCCTTTACAGGGTACGGGCACTCAGTTCTGATGTGCTGGTGCTTTGCCATAATGGCAGACATGTGTATGGTGCTGTAATGTTTGAGAACAGCTGAGGAGGTGACAGTGGGGAATGAGTTGCCTGGGGTGTACCCAAGGGGAGGCATTCGATGGCCCAGAAGGGACTGGGGCAACCGGAGCCAACCTGATCGGATGCCGTGGAAGCCCAGTCCATGCTGTTTCACCACATCAATGCTTCTGTAAAACACCTCCCCCATGAATACCTTCCCCCTGGTTATTTTTACTGCTTCTAAATATATCCAGTTCCTCTCTGTATATTGCAAATTGCTGCTGCTTGTTAACATGACTAAAAAAAGGAGAGCAAGCCATGCCCAAGAGCTAAACAGAGGCCAGCAGCGACAGCTCCCACTCTTTGAAGAATCATGGTTGGGGGTGTGCAGCGGGCTGGCACTCTCAGCACCTCTGTTTTCTGTACTTCTAGTGAATGAAAGTGCCTGGGAGCAGAAGATGTCTCATTGCTCTTTGTGCTCTCCCAGGGTAATGCTGCCCTGTGGCTGCTCCTGCAGGGGATGGAGCTATAGCTCTGGGGTGATGCTGGATGCCCCGTGCAGAGCTTTCCAGTGCTGTGGCCCAGCCTATGTGGAATAGGGAGCCAATGCTCTCAGACTGACTTAGTCATAGAAAATGAGGGTTGGAAGGGACCTCAGGAGGTCATCTAGTCCAACCACCTGCTCAAAGCAGGACCATCCCTGACTAGCTCATCCCAGCCAAGGCTTTATCTAGTCTGGTCTTAAAAATCTCCAAGGATGGAGATTCCACCACCTCTGGGTAACTTGTTCCAGTGCTTCACTACCCTCCTAGTGAGAAAATTCTTTCTAGTATCTAACCTAAACTTCGCTTGCTTCAACTTGAGACTGTTGCTCCTTGTTCTGTCATCTGCCACCACTGAAAACAGTCTAGCTCTATCCTTTTTCTAACCCCACTTCAGGTAGCTGAAGGCTTCTATTAATTTCCCACTCGGTCTTCTCTTCTCTGGACTAAATGAGCTCCTGTACACATGCTGGGAGCCTGCTCCGACATGCTGGAAGTCCAGCGCGTCGGAGCAGATTCGATTAATTGAGTCTGCTGGAGCACAGAAGTTGACGTGCTCCCGCAGTCTTGCGTGTCGTGTAGCAGCGTCACCGCGCATCTCCACACTGACAAAATGGCGGTGGGGCACTTTGAAATAAAACACATCTGATGAGCTTTAGTTCAGAGCACCCCACTGCCATTTTTTCAGCATGGGGATGCATGGCAATGCTGATACGCGTGGCGCATGGGTGCTTTTAATTAGCGCAGCTCGCTCATTAGAGCACCCAGCGCCATGTCTGCAAGCACGTGTGAAAATGCCCAATAAGTCCAGTTCCCTCAGTGTCTTCTTAGAAGTCATTGCCATCAGGATGGTGACCAGGTAGTCCAGTTATTGACTGTGTGCATGTGTCCTTAGACTCTTGTGGCCAAACTCTTCTGTGCTACACACTACTGTGAATCCCATTGGTTCAAATAAGCTGCAGTACTAGAGATCCTACAGATTCAGAAATCATGTTATGCCCTACAAATCACAAGAATGGCATAAACACCTCTGTATACTAATGTTGACAGATGTCAGGATCTCGTTAGTAGGTTTCTGGCTTCTGAGCTATTGGAATGTACCCAGCTCTTGTTTGTCTGCAAGAGTTTGATGTAGTCATGGGACTCTAGGAGCTGGAGCCTTCTGCACCAAATATCATGAGAATCAGTAGCACCAAGTTAACTGGAGTCATTGGAGTGCCCTGGGATTTAGACCCAGTGGATTTTAGGCCCCCTCTATATGTGCAGGTAAAGGTGCAGTTGGATCTAATTTACAGTTTACACCGTAATTGGATTTACACAATTGTGCCTCCTGCCATGCCACATGTGCATAGCAGGAGGTGCAATTGTGGGATTGCACATTAGATCCAATAACACCTTATTGCTGGTGTAGAGGGAGCTGATCCTGGGCTTCCCTTGCATTGGTAAGAAGCAAGCTCCCAAGGCTGGGATCCCCCTTTGCTGTGGGGGCTTCTAGCATGGGGGTCATGTGGAGCCAGGACAGAGAGCCCCATCAGGTGCTGGATTCTTGTTAGCAGGGACCAAGAGCCCTGTCGGGTGCAAGGTGCAGGGACTCTGTCCCAGCTGCACATGTCAGCCCAGGGGTTTTGTTCACCCCCCCCAGCCTTTAGGATCATGGCAGCTGCCTTCCCCTGGGCCCAGGGTTGTGGGGTTTTAGCACCCCCAAGCCTTTGGGGCTCATGGCATCCATGATCCCCAGGGCTCTGGGGTTTTGCACTGGACATGATGCAACGCAGTGGCTGGGGGACCTGTCACATGATGGGGCTCCCAGCCTCACGGGGCACCCTGTTACATGTGCAGATTAAAGCTCGATACCAATCAGCTGTTAAGTTAGTACACATTTTTGAGGTCGAACTTTATAGTTGGTTGGAGCTTGTTGTCCTGTGATAGCTACTTTGTACGTGTAGCTGGTCTTAAGGTAATTGCATAATTAACTAGTTAATTGCATGATGCCCATAAAGTATAGAGGGGGCCTTAGAGTAAGATTTGGCCCTAACTCATGTAGACAGGAGCAGCCATTCCAGAGCGACAGCTCCTAAGGAAGCTATTTCCTACTACAGAGACACTTTGTCAGTCCCTGAAGGGATTGTTCACTCTAATGGCCACAACCTGATAGCAGCTTGAGGGGCCTCTGTAGGAGGCAACACATGGCCAGGATCTTGCACACTGTGACCTAAGGCAGTGATGTTCAGCCTATGGTTTTAGACACAAGTGGATCTTTGCCACCTGGTGCATCTGTCTTGGCATCTGCAGGGCTGGAGCTCCCCCTGCTTGGTCTCATCTCTGTAGATCCAACAGAGTGCAAGAGCTCTCTATGGTGTCCATAATACAGGAGTCTCTGGGAGCCTTCTGGTAGGTAGGACCCAGGTTGGTGCTCTGTGATGACAAGGGGCTGTCTGGAGATATGACCCACAGCTTTTGCCTTAGTTTTACTCAGTTCAGCATCGTGGGGAGGAGTTTACTGCTCAGGAGAGGTCCTGGAATAGAATGGCAGGAGGACTACACATCAGGATCAGGGCCGTCAGCAGAGCTGGGGATGGGAAAGGGTCAAAACCGGGTGGGGGGGCAGGAGCACTGTGGGTCAGGAGTGAGGGGCTTCAATAGTCAAGGAAGTCCCTTTCTTCCAAATCAAGTGTTGGGAAGGGAGCTGGGGGGTGAGGGGTGGGGGAGAGTGTGAAGGCCCAGTTCCTGACCTGTGCACACTTCAGCCTTTCCATATCACAGTATCTCCTCTGATTTGGTTTCCAGATGACCGACATCGAGTCAAACTCCACCCGCTGCTTGGGGACCCCAATTCGGATTATATTAACGCTAACTACATTGATGTGAGTACCTGGAGGTGACTTCAGTCTGCAGGGGGAGACGGGGTCAGTGCTCTAACGCTCCCACTGTCTTCTCTTAGTGCAGGGAAGGGAGGCATGTAGTGATGAGACGGGCACCTTACAAGATCCATGTGTGGCTGCACATGTTTCTATAAGAGAAATCCAAGCAGTGTGTAGAGGGAGAGGGGACGTGTGGAACAGATGTGAGGACTGCAGCCATACCCACCAAAACCTGTTCTTCTAACAAACCCGCCTGGTCGGCCTGACAGAGCACAAGGCTTTAGAGCCCATGCTGCTCATGGTCTTTATCTTCCTCTTTCTGCGTCCCCAAGGACACTATCTCCCTCCCTCCCTCCCTCCTTTCTTCTCTCCCACCCTCCCTATCTCTCTGTCTCTCTCTCTCTCATTCCATCTTTTTTCCTGAGGTCTTTTTCTTCCTCCTTCATTTCCATGGATCAAGGTGTCACTTTTCTGTTCTGGGACCCCTTCCTGCCTTTCCCCAAGTAATGGGATATAGGGATGAAGTAGGCTGGGAGTGAGGAGTGCAGTTTGGGCTGAGTGGGTAGCTCAATGCTGCAGTGTATAGCAGGTCAGGATGGAGGTGTTTGGCAGGGCCGGAGGAATGGAGTAAGCAGCAGGTCGGGATGCTGTGTATGGACAAAGTGGGATAGGGAACTCAGGGCTGGATTAATCAGGCTGAAAGTGCATGGGCATAGCTGTGGGAGAGATATTCCTGGCTCACACTAGGTCAGTCCAGCTCTCTTTTTCATAGGCATTTAGCCCAAGAGTGTCCTCAGTCCATCAGTGATTGCTGAGCATGGCCTTTTTCAGCCTGCTGGCACCAGTTGGTTAACAACACAGCTGGGAGAGCCTGGCTGAATCTGGGGATTCACACATGACTTCTCTGTAAAATTGTCTGAAATAGTGCAGATCTCCCTTATCCCCCAATGGGCTCCCAGCTCAGGGTACTCGAAAGGGCCCTGCAGCAGTAAGGTCTGAGCAAGACCACCCCGTGGTCTCTGTACAGGTTGGTTAGTACCCCTTCCAGCCCCCTCCTCTCTCTCTGTGACCCGCTCTCGCTGCTGCCAATGTTCTAATCTGTTTCTTGGACTGTACCTCACTAATCTCTCTGTCTCTGATCTTTTTCTTTTGAACCTATGTCCGATTGGGATCGTTAAGATTCGGATAAACCGAGAAGTAAGTAAACTGTATCCCTAACCTCTCTTCTCTTCCTGTTCCCCTTTGTTCCTCCCAAGACACTCCTCTTTCCAGCTTGTGCTACCAGTCTGATCCAGATGGGCTTTGGAGTTGCCTGTGTAGTTATGGCACTTCATTGCACCTCACCAGACTGCGGTGCAATTCCTGCCCCTCCTACAGGTGACATGTGGCCTTTGGGAAATCATTTCTAGTCCGTGTGCCTCAGGTTTCCCATTTACAAATTGAGAATGCTACTTCCTGACCTCACTGGGGACAGCTGTCAGAATGAGTCTGTTAGGGTCTGATTCTTATTTCCATTCTCCAGAAATGAGCTATCTAAATGGGCCTTGGAGTGCACATACATTCCACACACTCCAACCGCAAGACCCCCTTACACTGGCAGAGCAGAGTGGCCAGCCCAGTCAGGCCCCATAATGTTTGCAAGGAATGCGGACAGCACGATGGGGATGGCCAGAGAAGCAGACCTAGAGGGTGTTTACACTGAAGAATTTTCTATCGGGACAAGCGTGTTTAGTACAACCCAGGCCAGTGGTTGTCAATCTTTTCAGTCACAGCACCCCTCCACCACTTTTCTGAATGTGGTAGCATCCCCAGTTGAGAACCACTGATGATGCTACCTCAACTTACTTTATTGCTTCTCAACCAGGTGCTGCTGCCTCCAGGTAGAACAGCACCTTACGGCTGCTGGAGCTGTCCTATGTGCTGTTTCTGGGATGAGTGTGGGGGGTGGGATGGATGGGGAAGGTTCATAAGCTGAGCTAGCTCCATTTGCTTTAGGGTGATCAAAGAGCCCTAATGAAGCAGGAGCATGCGTCTGAAAACCCTGTGTGCAGGGCAGCTCTACCTGGCTGCCACAGGCAGCAGTGCCAACATTTCAGCACCCCTGAGGGGGTCTTGTGCCATCCCAGTGGAGAACCATTGGCCTGGGCTGTCAATTTAAATGGATACAGGAGAGGCACACATCATTCTGTCACAAGCTCTTTTTTGATCTAAATTATGTCCCTCCAGAGGGGGTTTAAGGTAAAGCAAATAAGTAAATAAATGAATAAATAAAATAAAAGCCCTCCATACTAGAATAAGAGCAATCCCCAGGATGTTATTTCTGTGCAAGCACCACCTCCCCCTTCACTGGTCAGACTTTCACACAACACCAGACTAGCAAAAAAAAAGTCCCAACTACACGTCATATGACTACACTCATAGTCTGCTCAACTCAGCATCACCCAGATTGCAGTTGTTTCCGCCTAAGCAGCAAGATCATATTTGTGAGCCTGGCAATCAATCTTGCTGCTGTCAAGGGTTTTCTTTTTCTTTTAATTTCCTTATTGATTTCCTGAAATAGCATCATTACAGTATGGTCAAGTCTGCTTCTTCCCTCCAGGAAAAAACACTCTCATATGAAAACAAACCCAGCTGAAATGGCACGTTCTGCAGTTATAGCTGGAACCCTTCCTGTCCTGTTATTGGCCTTGTTAAGATTTGCTCTGCTATTTAGGCTGACACTTTCCTATTAAGAGTTAGTAATGTTTGCAGTAAATGGCTTGGATGAATGAGGGGAGTTGGGCCATTATTCAGTGCCATATGACTGCTTTGGACTGGGATATTATTAATACGGTTGTCACCATGACATTTCCTGCTGTCTTAAAAACGTTTGTCAGTGCTGCTTGTGTGAGCAGGAGGCCTTTGGACCTGACACCTGCCCTCCAAATGCCTATGCCACTGCTTTTTCTCTCCGACTTCCATGCTACGCACACAGCAGTAGCTGTGGATGGAGTGGTGCGGAGGGAACTGAGAGCTTGGGCATCACGTGGCAAACTAGAACTTGGAGCAGGGCTGGTTGGCAGAGTCTGCTCTGGCAAAGTAGCTGGGTGCCCCCCTCATGGTCCTAGCTCCATTCTGCAGTGGAGTCCCACTCCCCCAGCCCTCCTGTTCTCGGGGTCCTGTTTACTCCCTGCACTCTCTTTTCCTCCACAAATTCCTGTTCTCCTCTGATTGTCCATCTTTCCCCATTCTTTGCATGTCCCTCCCCCACCCCCCCACCTTATTTTCCACGGTCCTGTGCCCCCCTTCACATCCTTGTTTCTTCCTGCCTCCGCACCTTCTCTCTGTCCTCTTGCTTTCTACTTCCCTGTCCTCTCTTTTCTCATTCCCCCTCACAAGCATAGAAGGAAGACTGGTCTCTTGCTGTCATCTATGCCCTAGCAACCAGGAGACGAGTCACCATGTGTGGCTAACTAAAAAGACATCATTAGCCATGTTAGTCTGAAGTCAAGTAGAAGGCAGGATAGACTTTCACCTTTTTATAGACTTTCACCTTTTTTTATATATATATGACTTTTTGAGCTTAAACTCACTTTATCAGATGCTGTGAGTTTCAGCTGATGAAAGCTTGTACTATATATCTATATATAAATATAGATAGATAGATAGATATAGATATATATCTATATCTACTTTGGTTGATCTATAAGGTCCAAATCTACCCAAGCTAACTAAACGGCAAATGTCAACCAATTCAGGTGTCTAAAGATCCCCAGTCCTTCCAGCAGTGCATTCAGACTTTGCTTTATTTTGATCTTGACAGGAATTGAGGTTGCTTCTGCTCTCGGGTAGGATTGCTTTTGCTGACAGGAAAGTTATGTTGAGGGGAGGGGGAGCTCAGAGAGGTCAATAGTGCCTTTTATTAGGCACAACAAGTCCCAGTCTTCAAGGTCCAAAAGGACAAACAGTTACAAAATGTCATCAATATGGAGCCTTAGAGAGTCTTGTATTGGGGTCAGACCTCCTATAGACTAACATCTTGATGGCTCAGGATGTTATCTCTCGTGTTGATAGACCCCAGGAGAGTTCAGAGCAAAGGGCTTGTGCGCTCCATGTACCTAGTGGACTTGGTATGTAAACTGGTGTTCAATGAGTAGTGTTTGGTAAGACATGAGCCTGGGTGGGCTGTCACCTGCTCAGTCTTTCCCGTGGCTGGGAGAGCACTGACAGAGCTCTATGTGGGGGAACTCAGAGTACTGGGAAGTAGTTACCTCTGTACCCTGAACACATAGTCCAGTGGTTTTATGAGCTGGCCATTGGGTTGATCAATGGGTGTAGGGTCTTCATGGCAGTCCCCAATGAGGATGATGGTATATGAGCTGTTTCTTGACCATGTATCCTTCCCTAGAGGTTTAATGGAGTCTTGTTCCATTACAGGGTTACCACAGATCCAACCACTTCATAGCCACTCAAGGTAAATTATCTTCTGCATCCACACTTTGCCTTTTACTCCATTTCCCCCAAAGTGATTGGGTAGCCAGTAATGTGGGGACTAATTAGCTAACAGGTTTTGTCATCCATGGGATTTGGTTTTGAATGTGTTAAGGCAGGGCGGGGATCAATTGGTTCAGTGCAGAGCAAGGAGGAAGCTTTCTGAAAATTATTCCAGCTCAGTAGCGCCAAGCCAAGCAATCTGTTGTTTTGCTCAGATGGAAATTCAAGCGTGATCACGAGTAATATTCACTTGTGATCCACTTGCATGACACCACTCTCCCTGCAAGGTCCCAGTGACCTCTGCAAACTGAGAGGTGCACATCAGAAGTATGGAATAGATTTGGGAACAGGGCTGGAGCAGAGTAAAGTACTGTATCTGACTGAAATGGCCACCAAGTGCATTTTTACACGCGTTTCTGGTGCAGTGCCAGGCACTTTAATTAGTGAGCCACGTTAAGTAAAAGTGTTTGCGTGTCATGTGTATCAGCGTTGCCACATGTCCCTGCGTTGGAAAAAATGGCGGTGGGGCGCTTTGAACTAAAGCTCATCGGACATGCTTTATTTTAAAGCGCCCTGCTGCCATGTTGTCAGTGCAGAGATGTGCGGTGATGCTGATGCACAAGACATGTGAGGTTGCCCGTCGATTCCCGTGCTCCAGGAGGAGCCCTAACAGACTGCCCTCTTTTGAATGGATGGATCCACTCCCATTGTTTAGGGGCTGTTTCAGGGAGAAAAAAGCAGGTTTCTTTGACCCTTTCTTCCCAACACCTCACTTTACTGGCTCACCAGGACTGTGCTCAGCTCACAGATATCACCTATTTGCATCAGCCCTCCTGTTTAAACAGATTCACAAAGCCCAGCACCCCCAAGCAACCCTACAATGTCAAGGCAGTGCATGCAATTCCACCTGAACCCTTGCCAGAACAAGCCAGTGCATGCAGCCCTTCCACAACAAACCACTGTGCACTCCTTAGGGCTCTCACGAGACTTCACAGATTAAGCTATTGCTCCCAGGCAGTCCTATATTACCAAGGCAGAGTAGTCTCAGCAGGGAAAACTAGTTCAACAAGGATAGAGATCCTGGTTTCAAACTCCTAACAGTTGCTATAAGAAAGAGTGAAAAGGAAAGCCTATGGAGTGGAGACTACCTGTTCCTTTGTGTATATGCAGTGCCTACCACAGTGGAGCCCTGATCTCTTTAAGTTGTCTCTAGTTTAATTATAATAATGGGCTTTTACCCATCTTTGTATTCCCAAGGGCTTCTCAGTTCTTTTCCTCTATGTCCGCCAGGTCCCAAGCAGGAAATGGTATATGATTTCTGGCGCATGGTGTGGCAGGAGCATTGTTCCAGTATAGTGATGATAACCAAGCTGGTGGAGGTGGGAAGGGTAAGGAGTGCTCTGTTTCTCTCTCTGATGGCTTTGGCTCTGCCAGGACACGTTCTCTTGCAGAGGTAGAGCGTGGTCTGTCTGCTTGTTGCAGGTGAAGTGTTCCAAGTACTGGCCAGATGACTCGGAGATGTACGGAGACATCAAAATCACCTTGGTGAAGTCAGAGACGCTGGCAGAATATTCTGTACGGACATTCACCCTGGAAAGGGTAAGTGTCTGCTTTCTGAAGTTCTGCTTGCTGTCCTGAGGATGGATGAATCCCTTTGTTCTGTCTTTGGTTATGTTACAACATGGCTGGTCTCAGCCAAAGACATGCTCCCCAGAGAAGGGGATGCTACCAGACAGCAAAATCCACAAGTATAGCAGAGGTTCCAGGTGCCAGGCAGATAGACAGGGTCCATCATATAGTAATACAGAGTGTATCTATGCCTCTGCTGGAGTCAGTCAAATGGGCTGTACTTTCATGCACCCATGTCATTCCAGAGCAACTGCAGTGATTTTAGCGGCACCACTCCAGTCACTATGATGTTCTTGAGAAAAGGGTTTGGCCCACAATTATGGGGCTGGTCCCAGCAATTCATAGCTGTTTAGTGCTTTACAAAGGGCCTGATCCAAAGACTCCCATTGACTTTAGTGTACTTTAGAACAGATCTGTACGTATGAAATGTTTGGGGTACCTCCTAATACAGAGCTATGTGTCCTGCAAGCCATCTTTAGCCATGCCAGCATTACTCCTTGTGGCATGTTCTCCAGCATCCTATTGAAATGATTAAAAAAACAGGATTCTCTTCGGGGAGCCTCTTTCTCTGTCTGATCATTCTTACCTGTAGGAAGGCTGAGGTTTGTTCAGTGTGAGCTCCCCACTTTGCCTTCTGTGATCCCTAATTAGGCCCTGGGGATCCATGTCTTCAGATCCTTGCAGAATGGATCCTATAGGTGAACAGCACAGAACTGCTTCTTATTTATGTACTCAGTGTTGATCATTTAATTTCAGAGGAAGCGCCATATAATTGCAGAGGGGATGAATGATGATCTCCATCCTCTAGTCTGAGGTGCAGGTTACATAGCAATTACTGTAGAGTACAGTAGCCAGGGACATAACCAGTGTAATTTACCCCCTAATCTACAGGAACATGAAATTACTGCCTAGTTATGAGCTAGGTGCCGAAGGGCCTTGTGGAACTAGTCCATTCATTACAGATTCATTACTGCCCTGTAGGCTCTCTAAAAGGGCTCCTTATCATTGCTTGTTTATTTTTAACCCCATTGCGCTCGATGGGACAGCAGCTCAAATTGTAGGTGACTGTAAGGTACTGGGGACATCCAACCATATTATTGCAGGTTCAAAAGGCTTAGCAGTGGCCACCCAGCTCAGCACCAATGTGTTTACATTTGTAGGGGATCAATATTTTGGTAGTGCTGGAGTGATTTTGAAGCCAGGATGCTCCAGGAATGATGTAAGAGGCAAGGATTTTTTGGGCGATATCTTTTATTGGACCAACTGCCTTGTTGGGATAAAGTGAGATACGCTTTCAAATGCAAGGCATTCTTCATCAGGTGTGAAGTGGGATGCATGCACAGTGATGATTAAGAACAGGGGGTAGATCTGTGAAATTTGGGAAAGGAGAAATATCCAGGGGTACCAGACAAACAATTAGCAGAAGAAAAGAGCTTGATGGTTATTGGGAGATCAAGTCCTATTGAAAGGGAGGAGGGTCAATAGCACCTGTAGTGCGCAGGAAGAATTTCAGGAATCAGATAGATTACAGTTATGCCATAAAGTCAGTACCAGTGTTCAGTGGTTGGTTCATAGTGTATGGCCAGCTTATAAACTTTTGTTCCCAAACTCACCTTTGGAAGATGTTTGGTAGATTTCCCTTGAGATTTCCTATGAGGATTGTGAGAACAGAAAGGAACCAGTAGACACGTTAAAGCCATGATGTGTTTGGCATGTGTCAAGCAAGTGTGGCAAGATTCTCTAACCTATACTTGCATAAAATGAGTGCAGGTTGTTACAGTCCTGACTTAGTAGTAAATGATTTATTTAGGTGCAAAGTCTTGGGGAATCAGGCCTGCTAAGCCAGCGTGCACATCCCTGCGAGTTCTCGGGGGACTCTCCACACTCCACAGTGCATGTGCACACATGGTTAATGAGTAACGGGCATGCTGTCCTATGACCTCTCTATTGCCTTTTGCTATGGCACAGGCTTCATGTCTTTTTACCTGGTTGCTAACATGCTGTTGGCCTCTCTCACCTCTTGGCAAAGGCAGCTTACCTGGTGACATGACTTCAGCAGTGATCTCCTAGAATGACACTGCTGAGGGGATTTTCTATTCTGAGTATTTCCAGGGTCCCCCTTAAGCAGTGTCAAGTGACTGGCTTGTGGGGTAGAGCTGAGGGGGCACTGCTGCCAGTCAGCCAGGTGGAGGAATGTCTTTGGTGTGACACAGTGACCCCAGGATGCTGGTTGCCTGGAGCTGGGAGCACTGGGGATGCTCCAGTTCTGTGTCAGAGAATGTGTGGTTGAAGAGTGCCATTCCCCCATGCAGTTTCAGGGAGAGCAGCTTGTCCTTGTCAGCCACAAAGGAGGCCTGGTGCTTTGGCACGGTAGGGGGAGAGGGACAGGAACCCAGACAGGATAGGGAGGAGGGGGCAGGATTTTTGAGCAGCCTTCCCAGTTGGCACCTGCTGTGTCTCACTGCCTCAAAGGATGGCAGCAGCTGCCTTGGCTTACTGCACGGTCAGAGCAGCAGAAACCTGTGTTTGGACATGTGCCCCCTGCCACTGATCCAAGGGGAAACATTGCCACATGTGGTGCCAGGGCAGCACCTGCACTGACGCACAATTCTCCAGGTGCCCTGGAACACCAGCAAGAGGGAGTCTGGTCGCTTATTAAGTAGAAATCATCTGTTTCCTCCTGTCTGGAATCCAGAACAGCTATCAGGAATCTGGGTCTCCATCCTCCCCTCCCTGTGTGCTCACCAAGTCTTGGCCCCTGCATACCAGAGAAATGGCATCACCTTTACTCTGCCTTGTGCTTCCTTTGCAGAGGGGTTATTCAGCAAGGCATGAGGTGAAGCAGTTCCACTTCACTTCGTGGCCAGAACATGGGGTGCCTTACCACGCCACAGGGCTGTTGGCCTTCATCCGAAGAGTGAAGGCTTCCACGCCTCCGGATGCAGGGCCAATCGTCATCCACTGCAGGTAAGAGGCAAATGCAGGGACTTGCGGAAATTTCTTCATCCCAAAGACACCGGGGATTTTACTGCAGGAGCTGTGGAGGGGAGTAGCTGGTAGCAGCTGTACTGGACTGTCTGATAGGTAGGGGCATATCCACCAGATGAGGGTGTGCACAGGGTTCCCCTGGGCTGATTCTTCTTCTGCCAGCTGTCTTGCAATGCAGGTCTGCGAGCAGTGCTAGCTTGGAGTTCACTTGGGGGAACTGGTATCAGGGACCTCTCCAGCTCCCTAAGGGCTTTCAGCGTCACCTGTGCAGTTGAGCTCTGGGGTCAGTTTCCATTCAGAGGAAAGTACTGCTCATTGCAGGTGCAACACTGCTCTGCTTTTTGCAGCACAACCTCCCCCCAGCCCTTCCTTCATAGTTTCATAGTTGGTAGGGTCGGAAGGGACCTGAGCAGATCATCAAGTCCGACCCCCTGCCATGGCAGGGAAAAGTACTGGGGGCAAACGACCCCGGCAAGGTGTTCATCTAACCTCCTCTTAAAGACACCCAGGGGAGGAGCC